CGACTATGACGGACATGAGAGAGAGAGAGGGAGAGAGAGAGAGAGAGAGAGAGAGAGAGAGAGAGAGAGAGAGAGAGAGAGAGAGAGAGCGGAGGAGGAAGAGGAGGACGACGACTATAACGGACATGACGACGACGACGACGCGCTGGCATGCAAGAGAGAGAGAGAGAGAGAGAGAGAGAGAGAGAGAGAGAGAGAGAGAGAGAGAAAGAGAGACGCACCTGTTTCACCCTGTTGCACACGCTGGTCGCCCGTCGCCGCACAACCGCTCTCTACTCCACGCGCTGGTTGCCAGGCAGCTGATCGCTGCTCCACTCGTGCATGTTGGGGGATTAGTTCGAAAAATGGCGCGGGGGAAGAACGCTGCCTTCGAAAAGTGGCGGTCGTGAACTGCCCCCCCGATGAGTCGGAAAAGAAAAAAAAAGTAACCAAGTTCACAAACAAATTTTCCGCCCCTTCCGGACGGTGGCGAAAGGGCCGAAAAAATAAGGGCCAATTTTTTTGGGGCGGCCCAAGGCGTGAAAAAACGCCCTGGGCCGCCCAAAAAAAATTTGGCCATTGGCCTGGAGGGCCTCCATCCGGACCAATTGCCGGAAAGCGGTACCGGATCCCGGATCCCGGAGGGTCCGGATCCCTTTCTGGGGGTCCTGATCGTAGCCATGGACCAAACTCACACTTCTCTAAGTTGACCTTATACTTGTGTTGTCGCAGGAGTGAAAGTACAGTCTCAACGTGTTGTGGATGCTCCTCGACAGACTTACTAAAGATTAGAATGTTGTCAAGGTAAACCACGACAAACTTATCTAAATGGTCATGGAAGATCCAATTCATAGCGTGCTGGAATGCTCCTGGCGCATTGCAAAGACCAAAGGGCATCACTACAAACTCATACAGACCATATCGAGTCTGAAAAGTTGTTTTGTGTTGGTCCTCAGGTCTTATAACGATATGGTGATAGCCGGATTTCAAGTCTATCTTGCTATAGTACTTGCATCCCTGCACCCTATCCAGTAGGTCGTCTATGCGAGGTAAAGGCTCTGCGTTCTTCACGGTGATGGCATTGCGGCCTCTATAATCAATGCACATCCTTAACGTACCCCCCTTCTTCGGTATGAATAATACTGGAGATCCGTAAGTGGAAGTACTAGGCCGGATCCATCCCTTCTCTGTCAGCTCTTTGAGTTGTCGCCGAAGTTCATCTAACTCGGTGGGAGCCATCCTATAGATCCTTCCCTTTGGGGTTTTACTCCCTGGAATGATTTCTATAGCGTGGATAACTTCCCTTTCTACAACTCCTGTAGGCTCTTCGAACTGATCAGGGAACTTAGCAACGACGCGTTCTATCTCTGGGGGTGTTTTAACGGCCTCCCCTTTCTCAGAGACATACACAAGGTACATACCCTCCTCTTGGTTCTGTTTGTAATAGTTGTAGAATGCTGATGCGCACAAGCAGCCATAGGTATCTATTATGCTACTGGTTTTGAACTTAGTCAATCTGACTGTCCTGCCATCGGGCAACTTATGCTTTAGCACCTTCTTATCCCATTCGAACGGGGGCTTAGCAACCTCAAGGTAGTACATGCTTAACAACATGTCGAATGGTACGTCGTCGCTAACCAAGAACGAAATCTTATGATTAAGTTCTCCTCTTTTATAGGAAAAGGTACAGACTACGTCCTTGATATAGTCTGTGACTGTCATGCGCTCCCTGTTGGTCAAAGTAGATGCTACTGGTCTACTAAGGTGTCATACCCGGTCCTGTAGGTGCAGCCTTTCCAAATAGTCGCGACTTATGTAATTCCTCGTGGAGCCTATGTCTATGAAGGCACCATATTTGCGGCCTCCTACATCGACTTCCACCACGAAATGTTCCCCTCTAGGACCTTTCCTTAGTGCCACCCAAGATTCGCGAGGGTCCTCGTTCGACCACTCACTTTCCATATCTTCCAAGGCTTCAGACGCATCTAACGTACAGAGCATTGTTTAGTCTAGATGAGTGTGTGGGGTGACAAAAGAGTCATTAGCTATGACCTTGTTATGAAGTGGGGAGGGTATCAGACCCACTTCAACTTGAGTAGAAGCAGCTAAAACTTTCACCGGCCTCACATGTTTCTCGAGCTAGAAGCCTGGGAAGAAGATACCCCGATCTTAGGATCTCTTGCGTGACCTTTGCGTTTTGGCACTTGTACTGGGTGTGTCCGTATTCACCACAGTTTATGCAAGCGCCACGCACTCGGCGGTCCCGCCACACGTCTTGATCAAGACCTGCCTTAACCCAATCAGCCACTTTGGTCTGATTGGAGGCGGCCTTCCCTTGACTCTTCGGATGACCCTTCCCTCGGCCACCCGCCTTAGCCTTGACTACTGCGGCGAGGGTGCTACCCTCAGCGATCTCCTCGCCGTCATACTCTGAACCGTCCAGCAGGTCTGTGAGCTCATCATTCTGAGAGGGTTGAGCATTTTCTAGTGTAGCCTCTAAGTCTAAGGCTTTTCTAGACAATGTCTCAAACGAATGGTACTCGAGGCGAGCCTCGATTGCCAGCAAGTTCCTGAGGTTCTCTGGAAGACATCTAACAAACGTAGTCAACAGGAACTAGCCACTATAGTTGATGCCTGGAACGACGATGAGGCTCTCTATGGTAGTCGTAAGCTCTCTGACTGACTTAAACTTTCTTTGATCTAGTCTGTTTATCGCATCAGTGGCTATTTGTGCCTGTTGAGGATTGTGCCAGCGAGCTTCTACCATCTCAAAGAACTAGTCTAACGTAATAGACTAAGTCTTGTCCGCCATACGCCGTCCATACCCGGCCTTTGCAACTATACCATCTAGTCATTTGGTTGCCTTACCCTCGAGGTAAGATGCAGCAGTAACCACTTCGTCCTCGGGCAAGGTCCTTTTCGCCTTCACCCAAACCGGAACTGTTCTCAACCAAGTGTTGAGTTTTTCGTCCTTCCTCTCGCCTGAGAAGGCAAGAGGCGGTTTCATTGGGGTCTTAGGGTACCATTTACCGTGCGGCTGTCCTTGTTGAGGAACAGGTTGTTGTGGTGGTGTAGCACCCACCGCTGGACCCGAAGAAGAAGAAGCAACAATCTGTGCAGCTGCTGTAGACGTGCCACTTGGTTGTGTGCCAGTTTGTACGGGAAAGGGGCCTGACATCGCCGTTAACGGCAACGGCGACTGTGCTGCGGGTCTAAATCCTGGCCTTTGCAAAAGGTCCAAGATCTGATCTAGGGTGTGATGCATGAAGTCCAATCTGCTGTCCACGTGCGCATGCAACGACAACATATTGTGCTTCAACACTTTCAGTTGGTCAGTCATGACTGACTCATCCAATGCCTCTAGAGCAGCTTTGTCAGCCTCCAACGAATCAAGCCTGGCTGTTCTATTTTTAATTTTCCTTTCTCTATTGGTTGCTTCCTTTAGTTCCCTTTCTAACTTCAGGTGGATCCTCTCGACCTGTTGGAGCTCTAGAAGTTCCCCGCCGCGTGTGGTCAACTGGCTAAACTGCGAGCCCGCCATTTGACTTGTGGACTGAGTAGTACTTACCGCCCCGTAAGTACCCTGAGACATTCCCAACAGGGTCCCATTGGTCCCTGACGAGGACGCAGACAAGGATGCAGATGATGACGCAGCAGAGCTTGTGTCGTTAGCCATTGCTACTGCTCTGGCTGTGGCTGCCTGGTCTCTAGCTGTTGTGTTTGCTGCTGCTATCCCTGCTGCTAGCGCACGGACTTTGCGTTCTGCACGAATCTGTCGTTCGTCTTCCGGTTGTAAGGCCTGGTACACGTGCGGGACCCTAAGTGCTCCTGAACGTGTAAGTCTCACATTGTCAACTCTACCCTCATCGGTGTCTGATCCACTCATTAGTCAGGCAGACAGTATCTGCACAACAACCCCCTGTTGGAGTCCTACCGCAGCATGTATCTGACCGACACCTAATTTTCTAAAAATAGTTGTGTCCGACAGGTCCCCTACTTTACCGATCAAGTGCCAGCCTACAACATTCACAATAGATTGTCAACATATTCTAGATGTATGTTGATTGGTTCTCTTACAGCAACATTAGATAGAACTGGCTATGGTAGTATACTACAGTCCTACTCTAATCTGTCTGTGAGGTGTTAGCAGCCTCTCCACCAACTAATCAAGAATAACAAAAGACCATGTTGCAGATGTATGAATAGTGGGTACGGTTGTGTTTCCAGTTGAGCATCAATTAAAACCTACCCTTCCCCTCAATC